GTAATTTTAAAATTATTATCCTCAAAATATTTAGAAAACAAGACAAATAAGTACTAAGCCTAATTTTTATATCATATAATTTATTATTATAATGTTAAAAAAAGAAAATAAGACAATTTTGGAAATTTTGAATTTCGGTGTGAATAATTATTTTAAACTTAATACCATATGATGCCAAGTGCACAGGTGTGAAGTGTTATTTATTTTCAAAAATAAAAATAAAAAATGGAAATAAAAAATCACTCTACCCTACACCAATTAAGTGTGGAGTGCATGACCACTCGAGCTTGCACCAGCTTTCCCGTAGTTTTTCTCATTATTCAATGGCCCATTACTGAGGACTGCATCTACATTTCTCCGTTCTGTCAAAAACAAATTATTGAATCAATAACCTGTCAGTCCGAGTTGAAAGAATTCGGTTCTCCGCAAATAAGGTCTTGAGTTCGAATATTGTAAATAAAGGAAAAGTTTTTCTTTTAATGAGGTCCGACGTAATTTGATTCTGAATTAATTAAAATTTAATGTGATTACCAGATATTGAGAGGTTAATAAAAATAAAAAAAACAAACAAATTACTGAGCTGAAATCCATCCATTTAATTCTGTGCAGATTTGTGCACACCATTAATGTCCCAAAACCAAAGGGTTATCTTTATCGTCAATACGGCAGCCAATATGGGCATTCCTTCTGACTTCTGGTTGTTACTCTGGGCCTAACTCACAATGTTTTTCTGTTAGTAAAACAGATCAGTTCGTTACAACGCCATGGCCCATTACGCATGAAAAGGCCCTGTTTTCTTTAACAACCAATGATCAGAATATTCTATACTTTTTTTTTTTTGAACAGCACACGTCTATGCCATCAGAAATTAAATTTATTTTATTTTTATTTTAAAGTATACAATAATAAACAATTTTATTCTGTTTTTTAACTTTTTCAACTCGTGTATACTATGTAACTCAAAACCATACTCTCTTAATTTCATGAGAAAGAAATAACTACTATAGGTCATTTAAGTTGTTGGCTCATCCAAAATTAGTGGCTTAATAGCTTAAATCTTGTTAACTATTTAAATAGTTTAATGATAATTTTCTCTAATTAAATCTCTATTTTGATCCTTTACTTTCATAAAAAAAAACTCATTTTTTGTCCTTAAATTTTGAAATCCGATCACTTTTTAGTTTCTTTATTAAGTTTTGCATTAATGGCATGTTAGATGACGAAAGTTTCAAAATAAAAAATAAAACTAAAAAGGAGCTAAAAATAAGCTAAAAATAATCTCAAATTGGTCTCTCTACTTTTGAAAAAAGTCATTTTTTAGTTACTTTTTTTTGAAATTTGTGTCATATAACATCAAAATTTAATGGAGGGACTAAAAAGAGATAAAATTTCAAACTTTAGATATAAAAAACATGTTTTTTAAAGTAAAGATATTAAAAATGGATTTTTTTTTCAAAATAGATAGACTAAATTGAGGTTTTAACCATTTTCTTTTTATAATGAGTTCGACTCACATGATATGCGTATAAAATAAGTTAAAAGACATAAAATTGTTGTCTCTTATTGTATAAATCAATTAAAAAAAAAAACTTAAGTCATTAAAAAGTAAAATTTGAAACATCTAAAAATTTGAGACTTTAAAATAAAGAATACAAATTAAAATCCTAAATCTCATAGTACTAAGTTTTATTGTTTATATGGAATGGATAGAGTTTTTCTACTGGAACTTTTTATTGGAAAATG